CCACTAGAGCCAGGCAAGTAGCTCAGTTGGTTAAGAGCTCGCTCAAGAGTTTGAGCTCTGAGCAACAGCGGTTCGATGCCCGGCCCGAGCTGAGCTGCTGCTGAGCTGCCAACAGGTGGCAGGATGGCTCAGCTAAAAAAAAAACAAAAAACAAAAAAAACCACACACACAAAAAAAACCCCACTAATTTTATAAAAGCCATCTCCTAAAAATTTATACTCCCTCCTTCCACAGCACAGAATTATTATTGTTAAGTAGTTGCCCAGCCTGGGGCTATGTTTCCCCCAAACACTCTAGATGAAGTCAGATTTCCCTACCAAATGACTTCAGATTATGTCAGGTTTTGCTGTTAATGAGTATGAAAATCTGTTGGATTTCAGAATTTTGGAATCAAGGAGGTGGGATTGTGGACCTGTTCCCTCAACAGTAATAATCCAATAAAACTGCTTATTTTCCATAACACCCTTGCAATTCAAGGTTTTCAAACTGGGATACGTGCCATAATGCCAGGGGCTTCGCAAGGACTTACGTTAGTGTTTCTTCCTGACAATTAATTATACTCTGGAGAGTAAGATGAAACATTTATATTAAGAAATGGATATATCTGTAGAAGAAGAAAACTCATAAGTTTTTAGGATAAAACAAATGACTTTAAAGAAACTTGTTATGTAGCGTTGTGGCTAAGATCTCAGACACTAAAGGTACAAGTCTCCTTTCCTCTGCCATTAGAACTTGGGCGGGTAACTTGGAGAAGCATTGAATATGGACTCTGGTGCCAGTCAAACCCTTCCTTAGCTTTTCCACCTTCTTATCTTAGCTCAGTGTTTCTTCACCTGTGGTTTCTGCTCCCCTACTTTGGAGTTTGTGGAGCTGTTTCAAGGAGTTCACATTGTTACAGGTGGTAACAGCATCTCAGTTTTTTACATTGATAATTATTTAAATAATATATATGGTGGGGATTATGTTACTAATGTGTGACTGTTCCTAGACTTCTTTTCCTTGTCCCTGCAGCTAAGAGAATTTGTCTTTATCTGCTACGATTCTCTACCCTCCCACCATGCCTTCTACAGGAGAATTCTGTTTTTGCCAGATGAGTTCAAAGATCTTTGTGTTGAAGGAAAGAATCTTTGAGATACTACATTGGCTGTCAAAATAAAGAGCTTGAGAGAAAAAGGCAAGGAAGACAGCAGCAAACAGAAAAAACCTACAATTTAAAAAGACCACAATGTACCTAGCACAATGAATTGGCGGGGGGGGGGAGCACCCCAAAAATCAAACCCACTTCAAGGCATATAAACATTTAGAACACCAGGGATAAGATAAAAAGACAATCCTAAAATCTTCTAGAAAGAAAAAACATGCTTCATACACAGATCAAGATTCTGATGATGTCATACATCAGACTTCTCCAGTAACGCTGGACGTTAGAAGACAAGGGAGTAAGCCCTCAAAGTTCTGAGGACACATTTTTCCAACCCGGAATTGTACCTACCCTAGTTATCATCATGTTTGAGCGTGGGATAAGGCATTTTGACACATGTGAGCTCTCAAAATATTTACCGCTCAAAGCACACTTTTCAGAGACCTTCCACGCCTTCATTCATCAGTCCACCATATACAGCTGATCCTTCACATACAGCATGAGGGCGCAGCGCAGGTGGCGCAGGGCGGCATTGGACTGGTACAGGGCGAGGTCTCCGTCCTGGAACCTGGGGAGCTGCCCGTACAGACAGGAGGCCTTGAGATGGCCCTGCAGCCGGGTCTCCTTGGTCGCCACCTCCTCCTTCCAGCTCTGGCCCTGGTCAGCCAGCAGCATGCGCACGGCCTCGCAGCGCCCTCGAACAGGAGTAGACGATGGTATAGGGCGTCATGGTTGCGGTGTAGACAAAAGCAGCCTCAGGCTTTTGCCCAAAGTCACACTGTACTAAGAGATGGAGCCAGGAACCAGGCTGCGGGACCCAGGCTGCGGGACCCAGGAGCCTCTCCCCGACTCGTACGAGCCCTCCACCTGCCTGAGTCCCGTCACACATAGCTAGTGGTAGGCACAAAGGGGCCATTCAACAAGTGCTTGTTTAATTGAAGGCCTCAGAGTTAACTAGCAGCAGAAAGCTCAAGCAGCAGAGAAGGAGGAGACTGTGCGTGTGAAGGTTGGGGTGGGGTATCTGGACGCGGGAGCCGCAGAGGTGCGGGCATGGTGGGATAGCTGTACCGGGAATTTCTATGGAACCGCTCCGTGTGGGAAGGCGGGTGGAACAGAAAGCGAAGTGGTAGGCAAGACCCTTACCTGGCCGGAAAAAGAGCAGGTTGCTGATGAGATAGCTCAGCAACTCCATAATCCTATGTTTTTCCAAGTAATTCCTGGCCTCACGCTCCCTGCTGCCGCTGGCCTCCATCGCTTTGCGTCAGGCCGTTGCTAAGCGACCAGGCAGCGTCGCAGCGGTTTGGCCCCGCCCTTCCCAGCGGCGTGGTCACGTGACGCGCCTGCCCTAGTTGTGACCTGGGCAATGTGTTCTACACATCGCCAGGGGAGAGCCTAGCGGGGGGTGTGGGGCGGGCACACGCGGAGGCCTGAGGGGGACTGGTGCGGAGTCCCTTGTGGGCCGTCAGCCCTGTGCCCCATCCGAGCTGAGGGCTGGGCCTGATTGTCTTTTCCTGTTTCTGTCTTTAACGCTTAGCTCAGTACTTGCTGATCCAATGAATGAGACCTCACGTGTTAATAACACAGGACGAACTATAATTGAAGGAACGTGTGTAATTCTGGAGAGTCCTTTGGTGTGAGCAGCCTGCAGCTCAGCGCTGACAGTGGGGTAGGAAGATAGCCTGTTTTCTCTACCAGATTGTGAGTCCCTGATAGAGGGTACAGTGAAGCTCAAACATCAAAGCCTAAATTATGTGCAACCCACCCTCCAAATCATGACCACCTAAATGCTTGATGCTTCAGGTTTGACCAAAGATGTGTGATCACTTGGGAAAGTGACTCTGGCTCAGTACAGCAGAGGCCAGACAATGGCAGGGGATCTAAAATGGAGAGGGACCCCTACAGAGAAGATAATGCAGAAGTGGAGGATCTGAGTCATAGCAAACAGAGGGGGCTAGTCGTAGTGTCCTCTGATTGACTGGCCCCGGTCAGCATCGCCTGGGGAAAGCAAAGTAAAAAATGTAAGGAACGTTCCTTAATGGAGGGAGAAAAGACTGTGTTGCTGCACTGGACAGTGATTTCTGCTCAGTGCTCTAAGCTCAAGGCATTTGGTCTTGAGAACATCATTTACTTACTCTCCAGGAGTTACTCAGTCCCTGAATAAATAGCTCTGCTCTTTGAACTTCAAAAGATCCTAAAATTGCAACAATCTAATTTGATCAGGCGGAGGAGAGCTCATCCGACCCTGCTGAGGCCTTCCCAAATTGCTGATTGTTTCGGTTCCAACAACTTTTGTTCGGTGCCTTTGTCTGCTCAGTACTCTCTTTCCTGATGTACCTCAGGAAGCTTTAACCCCTAATCTCCAGTTCTTCTGGAAATCATGCTGAACAGAAGTGTTCAGATGCCACCTAGTGGAGCCAGCTATTCTCTGCCAAGACCATCTCTTAAGGCAATTTGGGCTTAATTAATAATCATCTTGAACATCATCATCCTAAAGCAACTTCCTTCTTCTTCCACTCCTTGTCCTCCATCTCCTTATTATTACTAATCCTTTGAGTGGTTTGGGAGAGTAACCAGGTGTAAGGCATTAATGCAGGGGTTCTCAATCAGGACTGTACATGAGAACCACCTGGGGTCCTTTAAAAAATACTGAGGCTTGGGCTCCATTCCAGGTCCATGCAATTGAATCTCTTGGGATGGGGCCTGACTATTGAGAGTTTTATTGTTGTTGTTTGGAACAGCTTTATTGAGATATAATTAACACTTAATAAACTGTACTATTTAAGGTATACTCTTTGATAAGTTTTGATGTATATGTATAGCCATGAAATCATCTCTGCATTCAAGATGAGGAATTTATCACCTCCAAAAGATATCCTGTGTCTGTTTCTAGTTCCTTCCTCTCACCCTTTCTTTTTTCTTTTTTTCTTTTTTTTCTTAGCTGAGCCATCCTGCTACCTGTTGGCAGCTCAGCGGCTGCTCAGCTCGGGCTGGACTCGAACTGCTGTTGCTCAGAGCTCAAACTCTTGAGCGAGCTCTTAACCAACTGAACCACTCGGCTGGCCCTCCTCTCACCCTTTCTTAACCCGGCCCTCCCACCCCTACTTTAGCCAGGCAACTACTGACCTGCTCTCTGTAACTATAGATTAGTTTATAGGTTAGTTTAATTTCTAGAATTTAATGTAAATGGAACCATATAGTATGTACAGGGTTTTGTTTGTTTGTTTGTTTTGGTCTGGTGTATTTCACTCAACATAATTATTTGTTTGAGATTCATCCATATTGTTGCATGTATCAATATTTCATTCCTCTTTTTGCTGAATAAGATTCCATGGTTTGGCTAGACTACTATTATATCTTAATAGCTTTGTTAAAATGAGAAGGTGGAAAATTGTGACTAAATATAGTTCTATAACCGTGTCTACAGGCTGTCCTACTTAACTTTCTAATAAAAGATTTGGGGGGGGGATAACATTTCAGATTGTGTGTTGCAGTTTTAAAAAACTATAGACCCTTGGATCTGTAGTGGCAGTGTAGTAAGAACTAGTTATATTTAGTATATAGTAAGTCCTCACTTAATGTCATCAATAGGTTCTGTGACTTTAAGCAAAACAATGTATAATGAAAGCAATTTAACCATAGACTAATTGATATAAACAAGTGTTAAGTTCCTATGGCATTTCATCAACATTATTATAATGAAACAATGTTGAATGAAATGATGTTATTTTGAGGACTGGCTGTACACTTAATGTTCTTGTGCAAATCATAAGGGAGACATAAGTTTGGAACCGGATAATTTTATTTTCACCAAGTTGTTTTATTGGTGAGCTGCATTTTTAGAGTTCTTCTTAAAAACAAAACAGAGTCTAATAGTGACACCTGTTTGTGTTAGGTATGCCTAACACAGGAGCCTGTTTTAGCTTTGCAGCTGTGATTTAACAGGTACACCAGGCTCTGTGGAACTTAGGTCTCAAAAGTTATATCTCAGTCTTTACAAAATGATAACATTCAATTATCCAAAATAGTGCCAGACCTACTGGGAAGCGGTAGGTCTTTCCTCATTCTTTACTGACCTAAAAAAGCAAAAATGCTAAGAATATTTTTAAACACTAATTTAAATCCATTTTACAAAACATGAAAATAGAAAATATCAAGAGAGTGGCCACAGTACAAAGGATGGCATGAGAAGATGGGATTAATAGAGATGGTGCTATGGTATTCCTTTTACAGTACATCATTACTTTTTTTTAAAATTCTGAAATAGCTTAAGACTCACAAGAAGTTGCAAAATAGTAAAAAGACTTCCCATGCACCCGTTCTAAGGCTCCTCCCAATGATAATAGTCTTAAATAATCACTTACCATGGTCATTGTCAAACTAGGAAATCAACATCAGTATAATACGACTAACGTGGATATAGACCTCATTTGGATTTCATCAGTTGTTACATGAAGACTTTATTTTTCTTTTCTGTTTCATTTTTGAGGCTATTTCTGTATGTCAGAGAATCATATTATAAACTGAGCCTAAAGTTAGCTCCCATCACACTGATTAGGTCGGTTTAAATTATAATTAGGTCCACCAAATTGAAGCCCAGAGTAAAATTTTTGAACAACATTCTTTGAGCTTTCTAAATTATTTGTATGCAGGATGACGACCTATTTACACATTTTACACAGGAAGTCAAAGACCCTTTTCCAAGAGGCTTCCCCACTTACTAGATGCGTAATCTTGACCAAATTACTTGAAATCTATAAACTTTCCTTTTCTCATCTGTAAAATGAGGGTAATAATCTTACCTACATCATAGAGTTATTGCAAGGATTAAATTAGAAAAGCTGTGAAACACATAATCAATAATGTTATTAGTTTACTACCACTATTACTGCTACCACCACCACTGTTATCACCATCACAGCCAGCACCACTGCTTCCACCACCAGGGAAATCCCTGTCCTTTTAGCCACTTTCCTGATGTTAGAGCAGCGCAGGTGCAGCTTAGAGCTGGGAGTCTGGTCTGGGTGCAGCTAGAAGTCTTGCTCTCCTGGCGGTTGGCAGATGGTGAGTCCAAGGATACGATCTCTCATGGTTGGGATGGTGGCCAGGTGTGTATAATCTGGTCTTCCCTGGCTGAAACTGAGACTGCATTTCCCAAAATACTACTACCATTGATATCAGACTTCCAGTGCATTGTGGAATCCATGGGTTTTGTGGGTTGTCCTGCAACTTGGTCATCCTTGATACAATCTTTAAGTGGAAGACTATATTAGGTTCCAAATGAAACATTTTGAGCACAGCCCACAGAGTGTGGATTGCTTATAAAATAAAGATAGATAATTGCTTTTTTATATTATTTTTTGAAACTAAGACATCCACTTTGTCCTAATGTTCTTTTCTAGCAGAACTAAGTTTCTATAAAGACAAATTTGAAGTCCAAGGAAACATGAAATATACATGGTTTTGAATGAAAAAGCCCCTCAGTGTCAATGTAACCCATATGGTAATCCACACCAAGCGTTACCAGCACAAAATCTATGCTGGGTAAGTCCCGCCATGAAGGAGGATTGCTTTTAAAGTCATACTAGGCAGTCCAGTGTTCACTACCTCCAGGAAAGTGGATTCCATAGCCATTCACTGTGATCAGTTATATATGATCACTTTCAGTTTCTCCCTGATCCTGTATTCAGGCTTTTAAGCTGCCATGTCAAACATTTAAGAGCCAAACATTGTATTGTGATCTCGTAAACGCTAATGTGAGCTCACCTAATGGCTCCCATATATTTCATCTTTATTTAGGCATACTGATATTATGCTCTAATTTAAAAAAATTATCAAAACAGGAAATTAATATTCTACAGTTTATGATGAAAAGAGACCATCCCATGCCTCTTCCTATCCCTCACCCCAAGGTAATTTACTCTGTTGGGCTTGGTAACCTTGGATCTAGAATCTCAGTGTCCCATTCAATTTAAAAAACAAAAACAAAAACCCTTCAGTTCCTTGCTGAAGGGTCTGGCGGGGGAGTAGCCACTCCTGCATGTGGGAAGTGAAGGGCGCTCTTAGGGGTCCTTCAACGTCATGTGAAACTTTAAACCCCCTTTCCTATCTTCGACCCATCGCTGCACCCCCTCCTTTGCCTCTGGTGGATTTGGGGAGAAAAATGGGCTTCTCATTAGTATTCTCTTCAAACCACTTTGTAACTTGCTTCTTTCTGCTAAGACAATTCCACTCTAAGCCTGCCATTTACCTTTTGTGTCTGTATGTAAACTTTTAAA